ATAGATAGATAGATAGATAGATAGATAGATAGATAGATAGATAGATAGATGATAGATAGATAGATTGAAGATATATCTTAATTTTGGGGCATGGACAGAGGGAAAATCAGACGTACGTCCAAGCCTCCAACCTTTTTTGGGCAGGTGTCTAAGCTCAAGGTTCTTCCTAAAGCAAGGGGTTGAATTAAGATTTTAAAAAAGGCATTAAACACCACCCTAAAAGCACAAAATATCCAGAGGCAAACATAGGAATAAAACAATGGAGGCTTCTCCTAATCAGTTCCTGTAATAATTAAGAAGGGATATTTGAGCCCATGCAGAGGGCTATTTTGTGCTTCTAAGTTATCGCAGGTGCACTTGGGGGGACAAAAGGGTTTGTGGCTCCTCTCAACCCAAAAATTAGCCCTTAGCTTAAAGAACCCTGTTTAAGATCCTCGGTCGTTTAAAAAGACCATCTCAATTACATAAAATCCAAACAGCCGCCTGGCTGGATCAGATCAGGGTGGCTCCACCTGGTCGGTATTTGTTCCCAAGAGTCAGATGGCTCCCAAAAGGGCACCTGAAGGTTACACTCACCTCACTTCACTTCACTTCACTTCACTTCACTTCACTTCACTTCACTTCACTTCACTTCACTTTTTATCCCCTCAGTGGGAATTGAGTGGGATGCGCCCCTTCAACAGGGAGGTTCCTTTAGCCATTCAGGAAGGCAGGATGATAGCAAAACGGAGCGGGACGGATGCAGTCAAGGAAATTACTCCTGTTCAAGGAAGTTCCAAATAAGTCGGTTTAGGCTCGAAAGGGGTGGAATGGAGAACAGCTCCTAATTTGTATCAACGGTGCCCCAAAGTGTCCAGGTTGGCTGATCACCAAGTGGGATTGGTGGCCATCAAATGAAAACAGGCATTGCCCCATCCAAGCAGGTCTTCTCCTCCCAAACTAGCGAGTTACACTCCGGGTACCAGGAGCTGCATCTAGAGGGCTCTCCTTCGGACGCCTCCCACCGGCAGGGTTAACCAGAGGGATTACGGTGCTGGATCACAGACGCCTTTTTCCCCACTTGGCAGAAAGGCCTGAAATCCAAAGTACAGGCTCAGCAGAAGGGAGACAAGTTTGCGAGGAGGATTCCAGGCAAAATTCAGGAACGGGTAGATTCTGAGCAACAGGTAAAGCCTCCACCTGTAGAGGCAGTCTACCTCTGAGGAGCAGATTTCCAGGGACAAAGAGCAAGGATTGGGCACCATTGTCACAACAGGAACTCCTGCTGTTCGTTATCATTTATGACATTTAAATACCCCCATCCCCCCAAAAGAATTCAAGCGGACCCCGCTATTTCTCCCACGCTTAGAGGTAGCGATTTGTCCAAAGTCACCCAGGGAGCTTCTTAGCTGGTGCTCACCAGGTTGGTTTGTGACGCGAGCCGGGGGACGGCTGGAGGAAGGCTCTCGAAGGTCACCGAGGATGGATTTGGGCACGTGGATGATTAGATAATCTATGTAATCTAAGGGGCTAGATTGCACGGAATTGCACTGGGCAGCGAAGAACTGTGAAGAAAAGCATCTCAGTGAGATCAGGAGAATGAGCAATTAAATGCAGAATGCGAGAGAAAGGAAGAAGTGACGCCCATTTATGGCAACAAAATATTCACTGATTGTTGAAGCCTGAAGAGTGACACCCAGGCGGGGAGTCTGCAGGGTGTGGTCAACAAAGTCAAGATGGCAATGCAAACATAACACGCATAAAAGATGGAGAGAGCTCTGACTGTACCACCGTGGCTGCCATCTTGACTTTCTGACCGTACCTTGCAGAACCTGCTGCACGCAGGTGCGCCTGCATCCAGAACGCCAGCAGAAGGCACGCGGGTTCAGCCCCTTCCGCACCTGGCTTTTAGGTACTTTTCACCAGTGAGGTAGATTTAAGACCTTTCCTCGGTCGCCCCCCTTCCACTGTGGAGTCCAGACGAACGTAGCGGGGCTGGGCTGGCCGGTGCTCTGCCACCGAGCGGGAGGGCACAGATCTGCTTGGCTTCGGCCAAGTGGCCGCATCGTGAGCTCGCATGCCCATCCCAAACGTGGAGGAACCGTTGCTGGGGTTGAGCAGGTGAGGGTGGCGAGTGTCCAGGCGTGGGCATGATCTCGCTGTTCTGTCTGCCCTTGCAGTTCGCCCAGTATGCGGAGATCGTCAACTTCACCCTCCCAAATGGCACCCAGCGGAGCGGGCAGGTACTAGAAGTGGCCGGTTCAAAAGCCATCGTCCAGGTGAGCAGAAGGGGCACCTCGGGCGCTCCACCGATCTGAAGGGGTCGTGGTCCAAATCCAGTGAATCATAAACACCTCGAATCAGGCTCCGCAGGGGACCGGAGCTGGCTCTGAATGCTCACGTCGGAACATCGTGGCAAGAGAATGCCATCGGCACTGGGTGCCTGGCCAGTTCAGCTGGGCTTATCCTCCAAACAACCCTGCAAGGTCGGTCCACCCAATGTGCATTGCTGACCTAGAATGGGAATGCTGTTCAGGAGCCCAGAAGTGGGACCCCAAGTTTTGAATCATTCAGGAAGGGGTTGCAAAAGGTCATGTCTTCAGATATTGACATTTTTGGATATTTCAATGCTGACTTGAAAAATTGCGTGGAGCAGCTCTGATCGCCGTGCTGTGGGCTTGGAAAGGTGCACGAGGCTTCTCTGTTTGCACAAGGGTTCACGCTCTGGGAGTGTGACGTTCTGTAATAATAATAATGCTCACACTCTTCTGAGGACCTTCCCTGGAGGAAAATGAAATAAATCCCCAGATTGTTCCCTGATATCACCAGGCTGTTCCCAGCCTTGCAGACTCACCTGCTGAAAACATGAGTTGGGCTTTCATGCGGATCAGCAGGGCATCTTTCTGAGTCTTCCCTGGGCTTCCAGGAACCTCCCCCAAGGCTCTGGAGAAGACGGGCACGAAGCTCACCCACCCACAGAAGAGAGCTGCAGCAGAGGCTTCCTTCAACTCCATCCGCCAAGGAAGGTCGCCTGCTGGGTCCCCAAAGGTCATGGGATGTGGGGAAGACACAGCTCTGTCCTCCTGTCTCTCGTTCCCCAGCTGTGTGGGAAAAGCCAATGGCCGCATGGGCTGAGGATGATGGGAATAGTAGCCCAGGGCACGGAGAGGGTATCGGGTTGAAGAAGAATGCCTCTTCCAAGGAGACCAGTTAACCTTTCGTGTCCTGGATGCCAACAAGTCAGCTGGCAGCTTTATAGAGCCAGTGGTATTCAGCACAAGGCTCTTGGCTGGTGGTCCCGTTGCCCTACGCATAAACTGGGTTCCAGGGACAAAGATACTGAGCTTAGACTCAAGCTGACATGTGGCCTCCTCTGGAAACGGGGCCAAAATTTCAGGGAAGATATAAAAGGGAAAGGATTGTCTTTAGACAGCTAGATCATGGAAGAGGATTTTGCAAAGCAGCTACTATCCTTGTCTGGTCTGTTACCTACTTCCCGCTTAAGCAGGGTGTCTGCAGGGTATGGTCAAAAAGGTCAAGATGGCACCGCCAACACCACCCATGTAAAAAATGGGCAGAACTTTGATCCCACTGTCGCAGCTGCCCTCTTGACTTTTGGATATACCTTGCGGACACCCTGCATTCAGGCTGGCACCGCACACCAAAATGAGAAGAGCAGCCTTGTGTAAATAGGTTTATGATCCTTGAGCCCCTCCATTTCTGGGGCCACCTAGAGCTCTTCTTCTCTCACTTCCATGATGCTTGTTTGTATTCTGAGTTCCAGCAGCCCCTTGACCTGTAGAAATTTGGAAGGGGGCATGGAGCTACATGGAGACCGTAACGTCATCTGTTAAATATTCATGCACCTCACTGTTAAGCCCACTGGAGTGCTGCCATTAATTTCCTAGGGTCACTAGGAGTTGGGCAGTGTATAAATTATTATGACTGGTTGCATAGTCAGACAGATGTTTTATGGTTGGTTGCACAGTCAGCCAGGTGTTTAGACTGGATTTGGCATTTTTATCCACCCATCGAGTCCTTCCCAAGGACCTGGGAGAGGCAGTTGCTGCTTGATGGGGCTAAAGGTATCGTCGCAAGATGTGAGCTGTTCCAAGTCAAGCTGCCTTTTGCAATTGACTGATGGTGATTTTGTCCATGCCAGCGGTGTTCAAGTGGTGCTCCAGATGTTTTGGGATTGCACCCAAGGCGCCTATAACTATTGGCACTATCTTTCTTTTGCTACAGTAGTTCTACTTCTATTTGTAGGTCTGCATTTTGTGATTTTCTCCAGTTCTTTCTCTTCTCTTCTGCTGTCTATATTATTATTATTATTATTATTATTATTATTATTATTATTATTATTATTATTCCTTAGCTTGTATATCTGGTGTGGAATTTGGTTCCAGCCAAACTGGCCAGTCTTAGCAACTACACTGTTTTGCTCGCACATGTGACTCACCTTCCTCCCTGCCTGAAGTCAGAACATTTATGCACGTGACATGACTTTGCAGCAGCCCATTTTCTTTTGGGGCTGCCTGAACATCACCCGTCCCTTGGCCCTGGGCACAACGGGTGAGCTGGTGCAGAAAAGAGGGCAACCGAATCCAGGTTGCCGAAATCCAGACCTGTGGAAGGCGATAAAGTGATACAGAAAAATCTGAGTAGTTGCTGCCCTTCAGACGATAGAGCCATTTGCAACATTTCATAGACAATCTTTTCCAAACTGCTGGGCAAGGAGAAAACGAGCAAGCCAGTCTATCCGCGGAGGGAGTGCTGGGGGAGCACAGGCGCTTCCTGCTCGGGAACTGATCTTTGAAAAATCTCTGACCTTTTGAAGCCCATCCAAAGGTCCAAATGTGGACACTGGGGTTGCCCCCTTTGCCCCGGTGTTTACCAGTGTCGAGGGTTCAAGGCAGCTGCATAGTTGACCTGCTTGGACCCTCAGCAGGCAAGCTGCCAACCTTCACTCCTCCGGTGTGGAGACCTTTGTGGTGCCCTTCTAATCCCATTAGGGAGCCAGCCTGAGCAATCCTCCCACCCCACACCTTGGGACAGAAGGAGCTTAGAGGCAGCCTGATCTGCACTGAGCTGGGCTGGACATGAGGTGGGGAGAGACCTCTCTCTGCCCACCCAGTGCCACAGCTGGCAGAGGTGTGAAGATTGTCTTGCAAGGGGCCACGCAGGCTGAATTCAAGCTGAAGCCTGCAGGCCAGGGAATTCCAAGGGGGTCAATAGGATTCTGAATGAGCGGCATTGGGGAGGGGGGTCCCTGGGCAGGAAGAGGTTCCAGAGAAAGCAAATCCAGACTGTCAGCAGCCTGTGGGTAAGGGTGGCTCCAGAACTTCGTGGCAGCTCTTGGCACCCTGAGATAGCACCCCAGAAATTTGACCCTGAATACGGTCAAAGCAGTTTTGGCTCAGCATCTGGGTTCGGGGGTGGTCCTAGGAGTGGGGATGGAGTGTCCCAACTCTGGAAAGTCTCCAGCATCCACTTCCACACTGACACCCCACCCCCACAAAAACATGGCCTTCCAGAAGGTTGGGAGACTGGCTTCAGGATTCTGAGCCCACCCTCAAATGTGGCTAACCTCAGGGGGCTGAAGGAAGCCCAAGTTCCCCCCAGTCCATCTGGGACCAAAGTCGCTTTCTGAGTCATCCCTCTGCTCTGGTGGGCTCGGGAAGTGCTGACCCACCCCCACAATCCTGGAGAATGGTTCTGATGCAGCCTGGGGGGGGGGTCCTGGGAGCAATCCACTCCCAGCAAAGCCCCTTCCCCACTTCCATCCCTTCTGAACCTTCTTGCTGCCAACCCTCCCTAATTGCCAGTAATTGGGTCCTTGGCCTGTGGCCTTCTCCCTGCAGGTGTTTGAAGGGACTTCTGGGATTGACGCACACAAGACATCCTGCGAGTTTACCGGGGACATTCTCCGCACACCCGTGTCTGAGGATATGCTGGGTAAGTAAGACCCCTTTGGGTAGTCAACAAATGAGTCATGATGAACAATTGCTCCAGTTACAAAATGACAGGAAAGGGCCCAGCTGCCAAAGGGAGAAGGAAGCCACCAGAGATGTCTTTTGTGGAAGAAAGCTAGAAAAGTTCCAGGCTGGCCAAGCTGGTCTTGATCACTGAGGCCAGCAGGGAGCCTGGAGGCAGGGAGATGAGAGCCTTGGGCTCAACCCAGGGGGAAAAACTCCCATGGAAATGAACAAGGGGAGTAGCTCTTGAGCAGGCTATCTTGGCCCATGGGATCCTGTCTTCAGGTGCGTCACTGGGGGAAGAAGAGAGAGCTACCTGGCGTTTGCATCTAGGGACCTCCAGGTCAAAGGCAGCAGGAACCTGAGGATGGGGAAGAAAATCTAAGGCCCTCTGGCTTATTTTGATAGTAATGTGACCCAACATCTTCCAAGCACTGCTCTTTTCCAGGAGAGATCTCCTGATGTGTGATGACAGAAGGAGCGCCATTGGAGAAAGAGTCAGTCTCGCCTTCAAGAGGTGACACAGCCTCTTTTCCCCTTTGGGGTATTGGTGAAATGTGCCGTCTGGATGCTCTTCTTGATGGCTTTGCTCATCTGGGCCAGAGCATCCTTGTGCAGGATCTGCATGGGAGTCCCTCCGTGGGGCTCTCCTGGCGTGATGCTCTGTGGTATCAGCTGCACTCCGCTTCTCCTGCTGGGGGGCTTGAAGTGCAAAAGGGCTTCATGCAAGATACTCTTTGAGTTGGGAAAGAAAAGACATTGGCCACCTGTTCAGGTGGGGTGAAATCAGAGTAAGGTCCAGGAGGGTCTGTAGGTTAAGGACAAAAATGTCCTGCAACACACATAAAAAATGGGTAGAGCTTCAGTTGCACCACTGTGGCTGCCATTTGGACCATACCCTGTGGATACCCCCGAATTATGACGTACTAACTGGAACCTTACCACGATCTGGACTCACCAAGAATGACACAATGCACCAGTGGTCTGTATTATCCGGTCAAGGGGTTGGAGAGCAATTTGTTCAAGGATGGATGTAAGAAACAATGCATTAAGGGGCTTTCCGAAGGAAGAGCCTGTCTTCACCCAAGACGTGCCAGAAGAGCCCTGCTTCATTCTTCCAGGACACCCCTAGGGTTGCAAATGCTTTTCCCAAGAAAGCCGTGGCGACAATGCCTTCCCAAAGTGCTGCCAATTTTTAAGGCGAGAGAGGAGAGAAGCAGTTGCAGGGAGAGTAATCCTATCTGTGCCCATGATTAAACGTGACATGCCTCCAGTTGAGTTTTTGTCCTGGCCACCCCTTATTTCTTATTCTGGTCATCCAACTTGAGGGAGTGTGGCCCTCAGCCTGAAAAAGGTTGGGTGTCTTTGCTCTAGTCAGTCAGGCCAGTGAGGGTTGCAGCCCAGTGGGCAATTTCCAAGGGCAATTTAGAACTGATCTTGGCTCTTCAGTGAAAAAGCAGGGTGAACAATAAAGTCCACAGTGAGTCAGGCTGGTTTCCTGGGACTTCATGGGCGCGTCCATTTCTCAAGAGTTTTCTTGAGAACAGCACAGGAGGGGTTGGCCTCCTTTAGGGGGGGTGTTTTTGGGTTTGTGTGTGTCCCTTTGAGTCAGTTTTTGACTCCTGGAGACTGCCTGGACAAGTCCCTGCAGTTTTCTTGGCAAGATTTTTGGAAGGGGTTTGCCCTGGCCTCCTCCTTCCTAGAGCTGAGAGAGAGGAGCTGGCCTAAGGTCCCCCAGCTGGCTTTGTGTCTAAAGCAGGACTAGAACTCACCGTCTCCCGATTTCTAGCCCAGTGCCTTAACCTCTAGAGCAGGGTTTCTCAACCTTGGCCACTTTAAGACGTGTGGACTTCAATTCCCAGAATTCCCCAGCCAGCCTTGCTGGGCTGGGGGTTTTTTGGGGTTGAGTGTACACGATCTTAAATGGGCGGGGGTGGGGAAACCTGCTTCTCGAAACAACCG